GAAAGGCAGCGATGGCGAAGGAGGTCAGTTGGGTTATAAACCAGTAGGAAGCAAATCTTATTAAATTAGTATTTTTACAACCTAACACGTAGACCTCTTTGTCAGCCTAATTATGACTTATCGTACCTAGTAGTGGGGGTTCCACAGACCAGAGAATTTCGTTTTCGGGGAGCAATTTCTCTGAACGTGCTTATCGGGCAGAGAAAACCAGCTGACGGCTTCGGAACACATTGGACGTCCATGTTTATCTCCGCATTTGGTGCCGTTTTATGTCTGCTGACCAGAAGGTCAAAATAGTTGTCGAAATTTGGGAATCTGTTTCTCTGACCTGATGCGTGTTTGTTTTCATTGCACAACTACTCGCTCTGTAGCTAATCTGACACGGAGATTATCATATCAAAATATTATCCAAAGCAGTACTTTATTTCTTTTAGTAGTTTAATTTTTAAAGTTTTTCTTTTAGTTGTAAGCCGCTTATAGTTGAAAAACGGCAAAATCAAATGTTAAAGCGTCTCTTTATTTTGCATGTTTTGCTTTTACATGTTTTTGTACCTCTGCTTCTCCTTATATTGTTCATTTATGTTTTCGTTATACGTAAGAGAAAAAAATAGGGACTACTTTCTCTCATGGGGTGCGTGATCGATGTTTAAGCTCCGCCCACTGCCAGAATTTGACAAAGTTCCATTTCAGTTGCTAAGCTAATTTACCCACAATCCATCAGGCAAAATAATCCCACATAAGGGCAAACTATAGACATCGTAAACAGAGGGGAACAAAATGGCGGCGCCCAGGTATGAAGATCCGGCGCAAGGAAGAAGATCTCTATAAATATAAACACAGACAAATGGCAAAGAGGGTAGAGAAATCATTATGTACAACTGAAAGAAAAGGCTATGACAGAGCTCATTTAATGCATAAATAGTTTTTATTCTAAATTAATTCTTGTTTTTTTGGTTTGTTTTTTTTTTAGATTCAAGATGACCAGTGAATTAAATGTGTGCAGTCACGTGAAGGTGGTGGTTCGAGTCCGTCCTGAAAATGAGAGAGAAAAACAAGGGAATTTCAACACCGTTGTCCAAGTGGTGGATAATCATATGTTGGTGTTTGACCCCAAAGTAGAAGAGGTGAACTTTTTCCAAGGCCGGCGTATTGCAAACCGAGATATCACCAAAAAGAAAAACAAGGATGTTAAATTTGTGTTTGACCGGGTTTTCGGTGAATACTCCACTCAGGATGAAGTATTTGAACATACGACCAAATTTGTTCTTGATGGTGTACTAAATGGATATAACTGCACAGGTAATGTATTGATGATTTATGAATCCTCCTTTCCCCTTCACTACGTTTTCCCCTAAATTTACAGTGTTTAATTAAACCTCGCTTGGTTTAAAAACAAAAAAACATTCAACCAGTAAAGTGATTATTTGTTTTTTGGGGGGTAGGGGAGGAATTATATAGCTACTGAAATATATGTTTGAGTGATAGACATCAAATGGATAAGTACCAATATTACGGATTGCAACACTGTTTGTTTTCATGTAGCCACAGTTAAGCTGTTTAGATTGTAAATTCGTTTTGATCAGGGTTCTCATCTCTTGTTGTTCTGTTTGCTATTTTGTGCGGTTGCTGTACTGGTGTTCTTGAATCTATGTAAATTGGGATTACTTGATTTTACATTTATCTTTTGCCCTTTATCGTATCAAAAACTCATGAATTTTTAGAAGTGTTAGCTAGTAGTTATTTGTCTTGTTTAATGGAAATACCTAAAATATGGAATATGAAAAAGCATCAATTGTGCATATGTGATGACTGAAAGGGAATCTTTTGTTTGTTTTATGAACTTTTGCACAATGCATCTACAGTGCAAAATAACATATGCTGGAGACTGGTTTATTATGGAGGTAATACCTTCTCTGCCTCACCAAAAAAAAACTTTAAAATAAAATGCCATATGTAATTTTGCTAGCAATACAATTAATCATTATCAACTACAATACTATTATCCAAATATTGCCATATCCTATCATCGACAATTGCGTTTTGTATAGCAAGGTCCCCATGGTGTAAGTTATAACATTCAATTGCAATATAATATGCACTAACGAGATACTATAGGCACCATAACCACTACAGCTGTAAAGCCTCAGCAGTGCAACCGCTGCCTTTTCTGAGAAAAGACCGTGTTTACAGAGAGGGAAAAAAAGTATTTGATCCCCTGCTGATTTTGAACGTTTGCCCACTGACAAAGAAATGAAAAGTCTATAATTTTAACAGTGAGAGACAGAATAAAAAAAAGTAATAATCCAGAAAAACGCATGTCAAAAAAATTATGAATTGATTTGCATGTCAAAGAGTGAAATAGGTATTTTGACCCCTTTGACTTAGTACTTGGTGGAAAAACCCTTGTTGACAATCACAGAGGTCAGACGTTTCTTGTAGTTGGCCTCCAGGTTTGCACACATCTCAGGAGGGATTTTGTCCTCTCCTCTTTGCAGATCCTCTCCAAGTCATTAAGATTTCGAGGCTGACGTTTGGCAACTCGAACCTTCAGCTCCCTCCACAGATTTTCTATGGGATTAAGGTCTGGAGACTGGCTAGGCCACTCCAGGACCTTAGTGTGTTTCTTCTTGAGCCACTCCTTTGTTGCCTTGGCTGTTTGTTTTGGGTCATTGTCATGCTGGAGTACCCATCCACGACCCATTTTCAATGCCCTGGCTGAGGGAAGGAGGTTCTCACCCAAGATTTGACGGTACATGGCCCCGTCCATTGTCCCTTTGATGCAGTGCAGTTGTCCTGTCCCCTTAGCAGAAAAACACCCCAAAAGCATAATGTTTCTACCTCCGTGTTTGACAATGATGGTGTTCTTGGGGTCATAGGCAGCATTCCTCCTCCTCCAAACACGGCGAGTTGAGTTGATGCCAAAGAGCTCGATTTTGGTGTCATCTGACCACAACACTTTCACCCAGTTCTCCTCTGAATCATTCACATGTTCATTGGCAAACTTCAGACGGGCCTGTACATGTGTACACTTGAGCAGGGGGACCTTGCGGGCACTGCAGGATTTCACAAAAAACAGAGGAAGAAAAGGGTAGCGCCACAATATAAAGAAATTGGAAAAAGCAAATAAGTAAAAACAATAGTATAGTCCACAAACAAATGGGTATAATAAAGTCCGAAGCGGGCATAGTGTTATCAATTGTTTTCTTGGTGACTATGGTTCCAGCTGCCTTGAGATCATTAACAAGATCCTCCTGTGACAGTTATTTTGTGTTTCTTCCATTTGCACCAACTGTTGTCACCTTCTCACCAAGCTGCTTGACAATGGTCTTGTAGCCCATTCCAGCCTTGTGTAAGTCTACAATCTTGTCCCTGACAGCTCTTTGGTCTTGGCCATGGTGGAGAGTTTGGAATCTGATTGCTTCTGTGGACAGGTGTCTCTTTTATACAGGTAACAAGCTGAGATTAGGAGCACTCCCTTTAAGAGAGTGCTCCTAATCTCAGCTTGTTACCTGTATAAAAGACACCTGGGAGCCAGACATCTTGCTGATTGATATGCTGATTGATAGGGGATCAAATACTTATTTCACTCATTGACATGCAAATCAATTTATATGTTTTTTGACATGCGTTTTTCTGGATTTTTTTTTTTTGTTTGTTATTCCGTCTCTCACTGTTAAAATACACCTACCATTAAAATTATAGACTGATCATTTCTTTGTCAGTGAGCAAACGTTCAAAATCAGCAGGGGATCAAATACTTTTTTCCCTCACTGTATGTGACTGCCTTAATTCACCTCTAGTGGCTGTCATTCAGACGTCCACTATAGGGACTTCCTAAGTTCGGTCCTGCAAAGATTCTAGAACTGTAATTCAGTGTCTCCACGCTTTGCATGGAGACACTGAATGCTCCCCATTGACTCTGCATCTCTATAAGGAAATGATGATGATTAACACAGCATGGTAGTAATTTAGCTTCCCAATGCTTCTCTATATTTGTAAGTTGTTTTTAGATGTATTCCCAATGTTAAAAAATAACAATTAAGGGCATGCATGTTTTATTTGTTGGTATATCTACTAAATAGTGATTTAGTATTGCTGTATGTGTGTGTATATCTTTTTCTGTAGGGTACTCTTATTTGTAAGGTTGGGGTTAAACTCTAGGTCCTATATATGGGCATCAGTTTACTATATGATTAAAATGTTGCCTGTTTGTTTTGGTTAAATCTTGAGCCTCAATTAAAGCAACAGGACTTTGTAATTGCCATCACACCAATGATTAACCACACTTAAACAACACTCTCAAGATTTCAAGCTCCGATGTCTGGACTTGGTGGCAGGTCATCTGGAAGTCCTGATGTGTTTGGTGTTCTCTCAGAGCTCTTGTTCCCCGAGGATTTGCTTTTGGCCAGCCTACACCAACTTGATGTCCCCAGTGAGGCTTGCAAAGCATCTGTTGATCAGAGATATTGTATTGTTAGTGGCTGGTGCAAATGAAAGATAAAGTGTTATGTCATCCTAATCCACACAGTAATGATGGGTTTTGACACGTCGTCTGATTCCTCCAGTGGCTGCGTGTTTTAAAAATATAGCACAGTTATTCAAATAGAGCCTTTTGGTATTCTGTAATTTCAAAAGAAGCATTGTCCCTTCCAAGTTTACTTTTTATTTCATTATTCTAGATTTATTTACCCCTCTCCCCCCCTTTTTAAAAATCCATTATATGTATAAATGGTTACATAATATGCAAAAAAAATAAATAATTTAAAGATAACTGGAAATCTGCTCCTATGATCACAGTGCTGCTTCCACTGATAAGATGCGAGTTTGCACGGAGGTCCATATAGCAACGTACAATCCATGTGACTGCTGGGTTCGCCATGAAACACACTGGGGTATCTATTTGTTATAAATGCTGTGCAATTCAAAGAGTTGCATCAAATGGGGGTCACTGATAGAGATGTCGCGAACCGTTCGCGAACTTGCCGCAAACGGTTCGCTCCGGCCAGCTGACACATCCCTGCCAATCTCCGGCAGACTCTCCCTCCCAGACCCTCCTACATCCTGGACAGCATCCATGTTGAAGCTGCCTTCAGCATGGATGCTGTCCAGGAAGTAGGAGGGTCTGGGAGGGAGGGTCTGCCGGAGATTGGCAGGGATGTGTCAGCTGGCCGGAGTTCGCCACGAACCGTTCGCGAATGGTTCGCAACATCACTAGTCACTGATTACCAGGTCGATTCTCTTGTGTAACTCGGTGATAGTTTATTATGAAAGCAGTACACGTGTGACTAATAAATTTATGCTCAAAAGTTTGCATATCCTTGAAGAATTGGTAATATATGTACCATTTTTAATGAAAATTTGAGTGAGCAGGCAAAACACATTTCTTTTATTTCTTATGGGATTCATATTCATCTGTAGGTCAAAACAGAATGGCACAATCATAAAACAAAACATGGCAACAAAGAAAATAATGAAATGTTCAAAAGTCTGCATACCCTTAGTTCTTAATACTGTGTATTGATCCCTTTAGAATCAATGACAGAGTGCAGTCTTGTAATAGCTGTCTATGAGGCCCCTAATTCTTTCAGGTGGTATAAGCTGCCCATTCGTAAAATGCCTCCAGGTCATTCAGTATCTTTGGTCGTCTTACATGAACCGCAAGTTTGGGATCTCCCCAGAGTGGCTTGATGATATTAAGGTCAGGAGACTGTGATGGCCACTCCAGAACCTTCACCCTTTTCTGCTGTAACCACTGGAGGGTCAGCTTGTCCTTAGGGTCATTGTCAGACTGGAAATTCAAAGAGCGTCCCATGAGCACCCTTCATGCAGAAGAATACAAATAGTCTGCCAGTATTTTCTGATAACATGCTGTATTCATCTTGCCATCAATTTTCATAAGATGCCCAGAGCAGCCTGTATTTCACCTGAGGTTACCTATGGGTTTTTTCTTTGTATCCCAGACAATTCTTCTGGCAGTTGTGGTTGAAATTTTTCTTGGTCTACCTGTCCTTGGCTGACTCTTGGTATCAAGAGATCCCCAACTATGCCACTTCTTAAGTGATTGAACAGTACTGACTAGCATTTTCAAGGCTTTGTATATCTTTTTATATCCTTTTCCATCTATATAAAGTTCCATTACGTTGTTATGGAGGCCTTTTGACGGTTCTTTTCTGCTCCCCATGGCTCGGTATCTAGCCTGCTCAATGCATTCACGTGAGAGCTAACAAACTTATTGACTATGTTATACCGACACTAACTGATATTTAAAATGCCACAGGTGTGGAAAATTAACCTTTAATTGACATTTTAATCTGTGTGTGTCACCTTGTGTGTCTGTAACAATGGCAAACATTCAAGGGTATGTCAACTTTTGATCAGGGTCATTTAGGTGATTTCTGTTGTCATTATGATTTAAAAGGGAGCCAAACTATGTGATAATAAATGGCTTCATATGAAAAAGTGTATATATTTTTTTTTTTTTGCATGATCAGTCATATTTTCAAAATCCATGCTAAAATTTCACAATTTCTGCCAGGGTATGCTAACCTTTGAGCATAACTGTATATCCATGCAAGGGCAACAAGTGTTGTGTTTTCTGGATGCTGCCCATTCAATGGCCTAAATTTGTTTTATGCATCTAATTTGTCAGCTCTGGTTACCTGATACCATCTGGGTTACAGCATTGATCCTGTGTGAGATCAGCATGTACTTTTCATTTAAATAGTACATTCTACTCGCTTGCAGTTGCGAATCCCCTCCAAGTGATGTAATTACTTGCATGTATTGTGCATTAGTAATGTGGCTGACCATGATTTATTATCTTCAGCGGAACATGCCATGGGTAGTGTGTTTTCTGTTGTATAATAAATCAGATGGACTGAATGCCATTTATTTTTCAGTTCTTTAAAGGTATTTTTGAAAGACATGGTTTGCAATTGGATTTGTTCCAAAATAATTCATCTGTACAGTCCAGTACTACATGGCGTTTTGTGTGAAATGCCACATAGCACTCTAAAAACCATTTGCACGACACAGAATTGTTTTAGTCCTTGCATCTTCTCAAAGGAAATTGTGCTTTACTGTTCCTCTAAAATCTGTGAGCCAGTTTAGGCTCCTCACTGCTGTGTGGAAGTAACTGGGTGAAATCCAGAGGTTTAAATGTCCAATACTACAATTTAGATTTGGGACACATTTACTTAAAGGAACACTATAGGGACACGAACACAAACATGTATTCCTGACCCTACGGTGTTAAAAATACCATCTGGCCCCCCTAAATATAGTAAAACCTTGCCTTTATCCCAGTTTTCTGTTGCTGGCTCTGCCCCTGATCTGCCTGCTTGGCTGACCTCATCAGAAGTGATTCTCTCAGCCAATCACAATGCTTTCCCATAGGATTGGCTGAGACTGTCAAGGAGGCATCACAAGTCAAACACAGCCCTGAACAATCAGCATCTGCTCATAGAGATGAATTGAATCAATGCATTTCCATGATGAAAGTTCAGAGTCTCCATGCAGAGGGTGGTGATAGTGAATGTCAGTCACACTGTGCAGCACTGACCCAGGAAGTACCTCTAGTAGAGGAGTGGTCAGTTGAGGTATCCCTGGGCTGTAATGTAAACACTGCATTTTCTCTGAAAAAAACTGTTTACTGCAAAAAGCTTTAAAGGACCACTCTAGGCACCCAGACCACTTCAGCTTAATGAAGTGGTCTGGGTGCCAGGTCCAGCTAGGGTTAACCCATTTTTTTAAATAAACATAGCAGTTTCAGAGAAACTGTTATGTTTATGAATGGGTTAAGCCTTTCCCCAAAAAGCTTCTAGCGGCTGTCTCATTGACAGCCGCTAGAGGCGCTTGCGTGATTCTCACTGTGAAAATCACAGTGAGAGCATGCAAGCGTCCATAGGAAAGCATTGATAATGCTTTCCTATGTGACCGGCTGAATGCGCGCGCATTCAGCCGACAGGGCGGATCGGAGGAGAGCTTCCCGCCCAGCGCTGGAAAAAGGTAAGTTTTAACCCCTTTCCAGAGCCGGGTGGGGGCACCCTCAGGGCACTATAGTGCCAGGAAAACGAGTATGTTTTCCTGGCACTATAGTGGTCCTTTTAAGGGGAATGATTCTACTCACCAGAACAAATACAATAAGCTGTAGTTGTTCTGGGGACTATAGTGTCTCTTTAAATCTATTTCATTTAGAAAGACTTTAGTGGCAAGACTTCTCTCTTTCAAATATAATTTGGATGGCTTTTACATCACAATACTGGACAGATATAAAAAAACAAACCAAAAACTAACATACATGGGTACGTGGATATAAGTGGGAAATAATGCGTTGGAAAGATTGTGAAAGATACATTTTTCTATGTGTGTTAAGATATTCTGAAGTCACGATGTAGAATTAACCAAAAGACATCCATTTCCAGTTGTGGGTCCCCTACTCAGACTAAAGACACGTGTGCATATAATACTCCAAACAAAACATGTATAGCACATTTGTAAATACATAATCCCGCCAGCCTCCTCAGAGAAGACCAAGCTCTGGAGATCAGCATTTGTAATTCTGGATAAGTTGTTTAGCGTGAGCTGCCTTCAGAGATCTGGATCAGTGATGGCTAGCATTGGCAGTGTGAATGACTATCATGAGAAATACCTTCGCTAATTATTATTTTTGGTCAGATTACTGCTTTTGTTTTTAGATTAATGCTTTTTTGCACCTTCTTTTTATTTTTTAAAATTGAAAAAAAAAAATTATTTTACTAAACATGATAAAAAGTAGGGACTATTTTTCTTATGCGGACTGTGATCTTTGGCCAATTTTGGTAATGGGTGAAGATTAAACAAATCTACATTCCAGTTGCTTAGCTAAGTTACCCACAATCCATCAGTCAAAACACACAGCAGGGCAAATTGCCGTCCTCATGGACAGAGGAGAAAAAATTGGAGGTGTCCAAGTTTTAAAGGACAACTGTCACCTCAAACTAATTTCTAATTCCTTTAGAAAGTTCATTTAGATATCAGCAGAAACTAGAATAAAAAATTGCAAAAATGTTTAAACTTAATTTCATTGTTTAGTAAATAACCCTAATTATTTGGTGTGTGTGTGTGTGTATATATATATATATTAATTTCCTTAAATGTATGGTGTTAGTTTTTCTGCAAAATGTTTAGCTCCAGGGAATATTTATATTTTTATTAAAGGGACACTGTAGGCACCCAAACCACTTCAACAAGTTGAAGTACTCTGGGTGCTGTGACCCTTTTGCAGTTAGTGCTGCAATGTAAAACATTGCCGTTCCAGAGAACAGACAGCCACTAGATGGCTTCCGGAATCCAAATTGACTTTTGGTCCATTATCTAACGCTGGACGTCCTCACAGACCTTCAGCGTCAGATTTTCCCCCATAGGATAGTATTGAATAATGCTTTTCCATTGGGGAGGTCTAATGCGCGTAGCTGATGTCGGCAGGGGAAGAGCATGGGCGGAGCCTGACCCAGCGCCACGGAACATCGCCAAAGGGGACATATCAATCCTATAGTGTCAGGAAAATGACTTTGTTTTCCTGACACTATAGGATCCCTTTAATTTAATGTTTATGTGCCAAAAATAACAGTAAGTACAACCAGTCATGCTGTAGATTTGTTATATGGAGCATTAGCTTAACCCCTTAAGGACCAAACATCATGTGTCCTTAATGGGGTTAAAGGAACACTACAGGGTCAGGAACACAAACATGTATTCCCCTCCCCCCTCATTAAAAGATAATAAAACCTACCTTATTTCCTGTGGTGCATGGGTCTGTCAGCGTCCACCTCTGATTTTCTCTGAAAAGGCAATGTTTACATTAAAATGCCTGCAGGGAATGATTATACTCACCAGAACAACTACATTAAGCTGTAACTAGAATTCCCTTTAATGTCAATAATATAGATATCTTTATATGTTATTACATTGGTGAATTTTATTTATGTAAAGAATCTTAAAGGAACACTATGGTATCAGGAATACAAACATTTAGGATACCGGCCCCACTCCGATTGCATGGGAAAGGTGTTTTTACTCACATGCTGTGGCTGGCCCCGCCTCCATGGCTGAGATCAATCTTGATGATCTCAGCCAATCCGATGCTTTCCCATAGAAAATCATTGGGAGGCTACTGTGCATAGGTAA